TAGCGTTATTTCTATTCCGAACCATCAGTCAAGAAATTTATTATCACACTGGATTTAGATGACACGAGGTGTAGATGAATTTCCTCAATTTGTTTTTCAGGGAGAAAGAATGCTGTATGGCACTCACGTGGCGATCGACCCAGGCCTCCTTTTGACTTTTGTCGGTTTTTGGTCTTACGCATGCAAGCAGGTTGATTTTTTCGTAGTGCCGATCAGACGAGGTCCATTGGACACTGAAGTTTGGCCCTCATTTCTTAGGTTTGCCCAGGTGTCAGCCCCGTATAGATTATTCAGTTTGGTGTGTCAGTTCAGCTATCATGACATCAGTTGAATGAATGTATTTGCTATCTACGTCTTTAGAACACTGCTTGAGTTAGTAGTCTGATCACTTTGCTCCATTCAAGCGGCAAACAAACTGGTCGTTCAACTAATAATTGGTATAAACAACAGATTTATTGGGAGTGGAGGTCTCCAAACGACAATGAGGCACGCTTCACTTGGAGCCGACACTGAAGCTACAGAAGATCGAGTTAGTACTGTAGAGAATCTAAGGTAATTTGTTGAAATATTGGTAGCTCGGGTGAGTTTATTGGTTGTTGATCAGGTGGCTGTTGGTCCGTTCGCCGAGCTTGGCGAATGGCTTGCAAACGTTTCGTCACCATACGAGGAGACATCATCAGTGCGCCAGTTGAGTGGGCTTTTGGGGTTAGGGTTTTGGGGTCGGACGTTCTGGAGGGGATTACCAAACTACGGGTACAATTTTAAGGCTAATGCATGAAACATTTCGGAAAGGCACCACAGTTGGGGTCGCTTAGAGATCCTCCTAGCATGCAGCGTCTCCAGGACGTAATGAAACGAACGATCTTGAGAGCATTGCCTATGGAAACGCGACACAAAGTGAACTTTAAATTCGGCAATATGGTGCAGGCGATGGACGATAGAAGTAGGATGAACTAGAAGAGTGAAGAGCTAAAGTGAACACGGATCGCCTCAATTACTACCAAGGTAACTAGCAACGCGGGAGACTGAGTAAGGATATCTTTATCGCTTACAGGTGGGTTACTGAAATGATGAAGACTCTGAAAATCGAACAAATTTAAAGGACCACCACTTTGGGCATTAAAAAGTCCGAGTTGCATAAAAATATTTTCTTTCCCGGAAACTCCATCGGCAACATCGACTCGGATATTGCAGCCTCATCCTCCTTTACGTACTTTTTTCCTTGTACTGGTGTAAGTAGTATGGTTAGTCCACATCAACTACGAAGCACATGAACCAAGTTCCACTCTTAACTGACTTCATCAAAGGTGTGCATCACTCGCCGTAATGGAGCTTGATATCAGGACAACGTGGCATCCACTTGGTCCCAGAAACTAGGTTATATAGAGTAAAACTTAAGCCTACTACCAAGAATTTAAATAAGTACTGTTACTTTCAAACTCGAGCCTGTTCACGTAAAACAACCTATCAACGCAGTTCCCCAGGTGTTCAACTGAAAATCGACCGGAAACTTTGGGTTATCGATTTGCCGGCCGCGTTTTGTAACTTATGTTGTTTCAACATCCTCTAACTGTCATTAGGCTGGGCGCACACCCTCATAAAGTAAATGCAATCTGAAAGTTTGATGGGAAGCGGGAATCGAAACAGGAACCCACTGGACTATAAAAGTTACATGCGGATAAAGGCAATATAATAGTATATATATATATATATATAACACGAAACAAACCACAATCCCAAATCAATATATGCATTTTTATCCCACCGCTATTGATCCTCGTTCCAAATGAGAGTATTGCACGCCTACTTCGCTATCTTAGGGCGATTGTTTAGCCATTTCCGGAGGCTTTTGTTTTCGTTTTGAAAATCATACTCACCTACCTTCAGTGTATCGTTTTTTGACATGAATAAACGTACCTAGAGTGACCACCACATCAAGGACCGATGGCGAAACCAGACCTATTGATGCAACTGATCAAGTACTGGTTTCTTCAGGCTTTGATAACTAGCTTTGAACCCGTCGCCATCCCTCAGTCATCATCATCGTCGTCATCGACAGCATGACATCAGTGTTCAACACCGACGCTTCACTACCGTACGGGTGGACGGGGAAGGAACTTAGTGTTAACTTACCACAATCATTCCGAGGTGCCTATATCTCCAGACATTCACTCAGGCAATCTGGATAGAAACTGACAACAAGAACGCCACTGACATCGGTTGGCAGCCATATCTTGTAGTGTCTCCAACCAGGTACAGTGAGGATCACGCGGTCCCCATCCTGGAAGGCGAGTAGCACCGACAGCACCCAAGCGTTTCGTGATCTCCTTCATACTCCTCTGCCAGGTCAAGGGTTGGCCACCTCTCTGTTTACGCCAATCTGAAATGGGTATTGACAACAGCACTCTCTTCGGCAATCGATGGTTCGGCATACGTAACACACGTCCCAACCAACGGAGCTTCTGGTTGTGGACACATTCTTCAATGGAAGTACCCATTACATAACCGAAAACGCGCTTTCTAACTGCCTCGTTACGGATTCGCCTACACGAGCTATGGTTCTGAGACAACGATTGTCGAACATCTGAAGACGTCTCAGTTCCTCTGCTCGTCTAGGCCAAGTCTCCCATCCATACAACAAAACAGCCCGTACTGCAGCTTGATACACACGTCCCTTGAGATTCAGTACTAGCACTTGTATTGTTCGGGGTCTCCAACTTTCAGCTAGGTAATCGGACCTTGATGGGGGCTGGGAACTTGTAGTCCCCATCAATCCACCAGCAAATTTGTATCCCTATTCTAGTCTTGGTCCCATGCCGGCCTTACAACTAGGAAATTTCGGTGCATTTATAGATTCATTCATTACTGGTTAATGGCACTCTTGCAACTTCTAGAGAGATCTGATGAAGGCTCGTTCAATCGGTCATTAAATCGGAACTCAGACACATTCAGTCATATGCCAGTGGCACGTCTGACTCCGCTGAGATTTGATGTGTGCGGATCTGCCGTGTTAGTATCAAGTGGTTCAGAACAGGTCACGTGATCCAGACAAATATAAACTCAGCTTTCCTCTGTCCCACCCTTTCGGTCAGTATCGGAACATGTCGACTGGTTGATTAGAAATCTTGAATCTAGTCAACCACTGGTTTCTCCTGTCCCTTATTACAAACTCATCCCTTCTGAATTATGTTGCCAAGCCCTGGTTTAATCATAAAAAATGATTGTTGTACTGTGCCATCTTGTTGTTCACTTGACTTTTCACGTGTCTGGTTAGACTGGCGGACTGCTCCCATTGGCTGTGCGATCAGGTGAGTGTAGCAGTGATCAATAAAGCGTTGAAGGCCGAAAGTGTTGTGAAATTTAAAGCTACGAAGGGGCAAAGAATGTTTTCTCTGGGAGACGAAAATACGTAAATATCTTCAGCCAAGTGGCCACCTAGCATTCGGATTTCCGCATGTCCGAATCGTCCCCGAGGCGATTCGACAACCGAGTATCCCACGACGGTTGAAACGGTCGAGATTTATCAGTCCAACGAACTCAGTTCAACCATCAAACCGCTGCCACAGGAAGTTGGCGACTCACTTGAGATCCCGTTTGTTTGGCTCAGTGAAGGATCAGGTCGAAATAGGTGGGATCTTATTATTGACTAGTCCTTCATCTGAGATGCCAGTGATCCCGGTATTGTTGAACTGACCGAATAGGAGTCGGGGTGGTAGGTGAGTGTAGCACCAGAGCTGTGAACTTGTAGCCACCCCGTCCCCCACACGCTTGACCGTTCAGCTCACAATCGCTCACTGGATCACGAGACTTGTCTTTTTTCATACTCGCAAACCACGTCACATCAAGGTGACTTATCAGACGTCCATTGTCTGCACCGTCTAGTGAGCGTAGCAACCACTCATGTGCTGACGCGCCCACGTATACGCAAACGGACGTACATATAGGGAAACCGAACACAGTCAGCACACAGACTCGCGCGTGCGCAGAGAGCAAGGCGTCAGCCAAGCACACCATGTCCACAGACAATTATGGAATACGTGTAGCAGCTATACTGCGGAGGAAACACGTTCCCACCGTCCGGACTTTCACCAAGGCAATCCCGGATACGATAAGTTCCCCTTTTTTTACTCGCTCCAATTTTCGCATTGTATTTATTTTTATACGTGTCGCAACCATGCTAAAAAAACTTCTATTAGTGCACATACACCTTTTGAGTTGTATTATGGCTATCATCACCTGTGCAACATCTGAGTAGGGGACTAAAACAACCAGACAGTATTGCAGGCACTGGGTTCGAAGGACTCGTCTCCGCGTCACCCGCCCTTCCAATGTCAGAATTATTTTCCAAAATACTGAGTGCTTCAAATTTTGATAAATACACTCATTTGCAAATCAATTTGGCTTTCAAGTGAGATTCAAGTGAATCTCTCGTTTATGGTGTTCTTCAACTGAATATGCTGCACAAAGGCCGCTTCCTGTTTCAGTTGGCGGTATATTTTCATAGAGGAGATTACTCACAAGTTTGCTGAAAACAAACTGAAAGCCCACGACCGGTTTCGCCCTTCTTGGGGCGCATCAGGTAGGCGCAGTCCCCGGGTTTCCATCAACCTTATGTTCTAGTTAATATGATATCCGGAATATCGTACCAACTGAAACATGAGACGGCCTGTGTGCACATTCATTTGTAGAATATCATGAATGAGAGATTCAATTGAGTCTCTCGGGAAAACCAAATCGGCTTGCAAATGAGTGTACTTCTCGAAAACGGTCCGATTTGGGTTCAAGAAGAACATCAGGTTGACGGAAAATCGGAGACTGTAGTAACGGTATTTTCCTCAGCTTAGTTCTCGGCCTGAGCCTCCCAAGCTAGCGTTCACGTCAAAACAACCACCAAAGGTGCACAAGGTCTATTAAGGCCCGAAACAAAGTCAAGAACAGTTGTACAGCGCTTCGTATATATGGCGTAAGCGGCTATAACGTTCTGGAATTTCTGACGCGTTCTAGAGCGCCATTGGCAACCGGCATTTGGCCAATACTGGGTCATGATTGGCTGTTTGGTCCAGATTGTTGACCAGTGAGATCTCGTCTTGATGCCGGACCGGCAAGCGTCCCGAATTCTGGGCCAACCTCGAGCGGGCCAGGCTTCTCAGCCGTAGCAGCGCGTGGGATCCGCGTGGATTCCTGCCTAACAGAGACTGCGCCTACCTGATGAGCTCGAAGAAGAGCGAAACCGGCCGTTGGCTGTCGGGGAGTTTTCGGCAACCTTCTGAGTAGTTTCTTTTATGTTTCAGGTCTACTTCTTTCAATCCCGTAAATAGTAGTATCCTGCCTACATGTCTGAAAAACTGATTAAAAATGGAGCATGAGCAAGTCCGGCTGAGAAATTTGTGGGCTTATTTCTAACGAAATGATCGGCAGGTTAGATGCATACTAATGTGTATAAATGTGGATATCAGACACGGGTAGTCCGGCTCAACACCTGACCAGAACACGCTGTATGATATCGTGTTTGGAACGTCAAAATGTCTTATGCGCGTACAAAATCTCGGGTCTTTTTGTACTCTGGTGCATCATCATTATATATATGCATATATATTCTTATTTATAATTGTATTTACCACTTTTTACCCTGTTGCTGTGGTAACTCCTTGGTGGGGACGGAAGGTAACCCCAGGAAGTGGAACCAAACTGCTAATCACCTGCCTGCCGAACGACTGTGCTACCTAATGTCCTATCGAATGTGCCATCAAGAGGATTTAGTCTATCTCAAGCTTGGGCGCTTAACCTTCACAACCGACCTTCACAGTTAACATTTTCAGTGCAATTTGTGGACCTCTTGTTTGTGACTTCGAAACAACGCTATCGTCGATTTCGCTAGGTCCTCAAATCAGAAGCCCAGGAACATCCATTGTTTCACCCGTGTCACGTGTACTTGGACTGCTCACTTCAGGATCCAACAGGATGCCTTCTACCTCCTAAGCAAATCGTCGTTTGAAAAGCCATCTGTTTTCGGCTAACCATGAGCCACTAACTGTAATCACGTTTGCGCCACGAAAAAGGTGATTGTGAAATGTACGATCATCTGCTATCTCCAGCCGGTGCTGACCAACAACGAGCGCTTTTCCACTACACCTTTGTTCGGTCTGAATTGAGCCTACCGGGTTATGCTAGACGGACAACCAATTATATCCTGTCATTGATTCATTTCGATAGGAACACAACTGATGTTTTCGCATCTGATTTTGTTCTTATCTGTTTAGGTGAACATGGTCTTTCCTGCAAGAATTCACCATAGTCCCTTCCCTGACTCGCTGTCTTCCAACCAACTAACCAATAAAGCAAGCAAGCAAACAAACAACCAACCAGCCAACCAACCCACTAACCAGCTAATCAACAAACAAACAAACAAACCAAACAAACAACAGCCAACCAACCAACAAGCAGCCTCCGGTTGTATAACTCGCGCTACCTCTATTAGGGTCGATTGTAACTAGCGTGACGTCAATTGTGGTGTACTTCACCGTCGTTGATCAAATTTTTCCAGTCCGTTTGCGTCATCAGAATCCACTTCACAACACTCTGTTCATTATATTTAGTCGTATTCCCCTGTTTTTGTGGAAGGGGCCGTCCCTAATGGCAATCCGACCAGTGTTTTTTGCTGCCCGAGGAAAGACAGTATATTTAATAATTGAGGAATTACACCTCTGTACGCATGCAACCAAATGAAGTTAATGGAAAAAACCGCATGTAAGTTCCAAACTAAGTTTCGTTCTACATCCTGTTGATATGCAACAGGATAGGAAATGAAGTGTGTGGTTTCGTTAACATGGACGGGTATAAAACCTGGTTTGACAGGTCCTCATCTGTTCCGAGAGTTTTACGCTTCGGTCCACATTGTTCAAGGTCGTGAACAAAAAGTGAGCTTGCAGGGGAGACACGAGTAAATCGGGTTTTCGACAGTTGTACGGACACCACAGATTTGTGTGTTTCACTTGTAATTTTGGACAGATGAAAACCGTTCAAAGTCAAGTGTATAGAGTGAGTACTCATCACCTTAGCCGGAAAACCGATTGGTTCAGAGAAATCCAGATAGAGGTACAATGAATGAGGTTTTGTTCGCGATTTTCGATGTGTGTACTACCATCAAATCACACTTTATAACATTGGAATACTGTTTGTTTATCAAACGAGTGATGTAACTTGCGGACATTTGAGTACACACTCTGACAGATATCTGAGTGACTTCGTAAGTTAGTGATGACCCCAGAAGAGACGGGACTTCGTCCCATGTAAGTCCGCTCGACTTTCTGGAATAAGCTGTGCTTATGCTTGAAGGTTGACGGTAGAAAATATTTCGAATGGCTTCCTGAGTTTCCAGAAACAGTATTGGAAATGCGGAAGGCAGTCCGCCAAGGATATATCGTCCCTCAGAAATCGTGGAAACTGAGCTGTGGAAAGTAGCTATTCGTGGTCAAATTATGGTGGTACATACCAAACCAAAGTTCAGATATTTATTGTAGTGCCACTCCAGTTTTGAGCAATCATGTCCTGCAGAAATTCTCTTCTGAATCCAGTACATCTAATCTTCTGTCTGCATGGTGTTATTGGCTACCACGATTCCTGTCGCGGTGGGTCGAGGCGGCAGCCGCGCCAAATCAACGGGCGACGACGATCAGCGGAGTGGTAATGCATCAACATCGTGGCCAACCATGGGGTGCCAAAAATGATCCTAACCGATCGGGGGTCTTGCTTTGTGGGTGAGGAGTTTAGGAATTGCTTGCAGACGGCTAACAAATGTTCGTATCGCACGTCAAATGTCAGGAGTCCAAACCTCAAGGCAGCCAAACATCTCTGCTGCTGATGAGCTCTAATCGCGCCAGTTTGACGTGAAATAACCACAAAACTAGTTCTAGGATAAAAGGATGACTGTTCACCTGAGTGACATTAATGAAAGACACAACGTGTTGTGTAAATAATTACAGTCAAATCAAATTTTGGCCAATAAATGTATTGAAACAGTGATGCCTCAGTTGAGAGCATATCTATGGTATTGGCGAAAGCCTCATTGCCGTGAGGTAATTCACTGTCTACTTCTGAAACACCTGTTCCCTATCAGTTTAACGCACACAATGCAACGCTATTCACTCCTTCTCTGACTATTGCCTGATTGTTTTAACTCTCTGTGTCCATCTGCGCCCTCCCTGTCGATACCAGCTGACACACTGAATGGTAGTCCACACAAGGTAATCATAGCCGTCGATTCTTCTTAGTTCTCAATTCCATCTGCCACTTTTTTATTCTACCAGAAACCCGCCATGAATTCTCCACCATCATTCACTTCAAAATATGTCCTTGGCCTGTTGGCGTTTGTCCCTCCCAGATTGACCTGGAACGCTCAAGCGCTCATCTAAACTACCCTGAAGCATTGGAAATATATTGATGGATGACCCAACTAGGCGTAATGTACGTTTTGACAATTTGACTTAACGATCCACCAGTTGATCATTGCTGATGAATCCTAAAACTATCTCATTCTGTTTGCTCTCCTCGCCTAGTCCATCGTGCTTGAACCTGAGAAAAGGTTTTCAGCTGAACTGGGACCGCTGCACTAGGGGCAAGCGATGTAACAGCGATAGTGTCACAGAAAAATCTGGAAAATAATGCGCCCAGCATCCCAGCGTAGACGGTTGAACAGAACTTCGAATGCGGGACATGTATGGTGCTGGCTTGGATTGTTCCTCAGATAGCCCCAGTGGATTGCATCTTGCGGACTGCCTACTTCTGAGCGCATCTGGTTGGAGCGAACTGTGTTAAACAGAAACTCATAAGTTATTGTCAGCCAATCGGGGATGTTTATTGTACTGATAATTCACAATACCAAACCCTTGGAGTGGAAAAACCTCCACGTTTGATTTTTGATTGAAATCCATCATAACTTCAGATTGGACTTCATTCGAAATTTTGCTAGAAAAAAAGATTGATTGTTTCAGCGAAGTGCATTCATTTGCAAACAAATTTGGTTCGGTGAGAAGCTCACCTAAAACTCAGCAACTTGGTTTCAAGTAGAACATAAGGTTGATGGAAAGTCGGGGACTGCACCTACCTTGTGAGTCCCAAGAAGGGCGAAACTGGTCCTAAAAAATTTTCAGCAACCTTATGAGTAGTACACTTCGGATATATATGTATCGTGATATCTCGAATATCATAGCGACTGGGACATGAAGCGACCTGGTGCAGCACATTCAATTGCCTGGAAACATCACAAACGAGAGATTCAGCTGGGATCCAGGTGGGTTTCCCGTCAAAACCATATTTGCTTGCAAATGACCCTATTTCACTAAGTTCGTGCAACTTGGATTCAAGGAGAACATGAGGTTGACGGAAACTCGGGGACTGCGCCTACCTCACAAGCCCAAAGTGGAAAGGGGAAACCGGTCGTGGGCTATCGTAGAGTTTTCATCAACCTTATGAGTAGTACATGTTTCGTTTATAGCATCCATTTCATTTCCAGAGTATTACTTTTGAACCCTGTGTATTTCGGAATCTTTATCAAAAAGTAAAGATATCATCACTTCTTGGATCTGTAAAACTTGCTTAATAATACTACTGGAATGCTGGAGGCATTGATGGTGAACAGCGTTTGCTAATAGTTTGAGAATGCTAACGAATTCACGCTTACTGACTCAGGTTTTATCACAGTAACGTTGTTCAATCGTACTGTCATGCAAAGGGAGCGACCTGGCGACATTGCACGACCTCTACTACACTTTGCTTGCCGTTCACTCGTAGAACAGTTTTGACGTGAACCGAAACGGTGCTTTTTAGACATCACACGCATTAGGTAATAAGCTGTTAAGACTTTAGCGTTTGCGTGTTGATTTGTTGGTAATGGGGGGAATACCTGAGAAAGAGCTCTGAGCGTGGTTTAGGGTGTTTCGAACAGGTTGTCCGCTCGGTTCATTCGAAATAGGCGATTTCGGCACCTCTTGTTTTAGTTATCCGGCGTCACAGTTTTGTGCTTGTTGTTTAGTACAATTTCGGCAATCTTTGCCCATACCAACAAAGAGGTTGTTTCTAACTCAGATTGCAAATCCGATTCCCAGTTACACTGATCAGTAAGCTGATGCAGGTGATGCGATGCGTATGTTATGTGCATATGTTAAGCTACTCACTGCTGATCGATCCGGGCTTTTGAGTGTTGTCAGTTGTCTGGGTTATTGGAAGATTCCTCAGCCTGCGTTCTGATTGGTTACACTCCTTGAACTGGGACGTACTCTGACGCCGACCTCCCAGCGCTGCACACCGTGACCTTTGCTGTCATGTCATCATCGTTGATAGAATATTCAGCTCTGTAGGGCAATTCTAATCGGGTCGCCGATCCTATGTAGTCGGTAGTTCGTCTTGCAGACTACCTAAATCCACCACAGAGCATGCTTTCTTTTCGTCTCGTATCTGTGCGTCCCAAGAGCTCCACTACCTCCAAATCGAAATGTTGATCATCTTGTTTCCTGTGCGTGGAGTTCGAGGATGACCGATCGTCTCCCCGAATTGCTGTTCAATGTTCTTTCACCTTGGGTTTCACCTTCGGTTGACGAAAGGTTGCCATCGGCATGAACTAACATGATTCCTCGTCGTGCCGTAATCTTTCTGGGATCGTGTCTGTCTTTGAAATATGGAAAAGTATATGCATGGTTTTTTGGTCTAGCTGTTTCTGTTGCTGTGTTGAAGCACCCAGAAGGATCAAGTCCAAGAGCATATGAGCTTCAGCCAATCATAACACAAGCTGAGGTTACATCCAATAGCACAACAAACCCAAACATCCCAGAATAACCGAAGGTTGGATCCCGCCACAGGTACGTAGGTTAATGTACGCAGCATGTTCTAAATGACGTGCCTCACGGCTTTGTCGCACACCAGCGCACTGACGATATATACAGTCATTGTAGGTGTAACACCCACAAGTGATGCAGTGAGCAAACCAAAGGCAAGTTCACAGAGATCCAGTTTCCAGCAAAAGCAAGGGAGGAAAGTTTGACACCCACATGTGAATAGACATAGGTGTTTGAAATTCAAAACTGACTTCGGCTTTCCTTCTATCTGTGATAGGCGAAGAAGCAACCTAATGGTTTTCACAGTCACAGTGATTAAATTTGCTGGAACCTTTCATGATCCCGAAACACGGAATTTGACGAAATGTCTCACCTGGATGACAATGGCAAACAGGTGATCGCCACCACCATTACTGATGAATAGCTAACTGCTAAAGCCAACTAATCACCTACCTTTACAATGCATCTAGCCTTAATATCTTTTCTTCCCGTCCCTATAGAAACCTTTGCTCTCATTCTTGTCGCTACTATATATAAAACGAACCGGACCGACGAACACTGGGCTAAAGTTAACCAGGTATATCTGCCATAAAGACAGAATCGGGAATGACTGCAAATGCGTTTGAAACAGCTAATGCCCTTGCCACATTTTATGCCTCCGTGTTTTCTCCTGAAGATACCAGCGCTCCTATACAAACTGTGGAGGTACTAACGGACGAAACTTTATCGGACGTGCATATTGATCGGGCTAACATTGTCAAACACCTTCGCGGCTTACAGGTACACACTTCACCTGGTGGGGATGGCGTTACACCACTGCTTCTGCGCCACTGCGCTGAACCACTTAGCTATCCTCTGGCTAAACTGTTCGCTAGTTCTCTGGAAGAAGGGTTGGTACCAGAGGATTGGAAATGCGGGATAATAGCCCCCATATTCAAAGGAGGTATCAGAACGTGTGCATCTAACTACAGACCTGTCACTCTTCTCCCAGTAATATCAAAAGTAATGGAACGAATTATAGCAGAAGCCCTGAAATCGCACCTTGAAATTCACTCCTTGTTGAGCGATAAACAACACGGATTTCGACAGAATCGTTCTTGTTTATCCAATCTCCTCGTGACACTCGATGACTGGACACGAGCAGTCGATGCGGGAGTTACTGTACATGCCTCTTACTTGGATATATCCAAAGCCTTTGATCGAGTCGATCACAGTATCCTTCTTAGGAAACTTGAAATGTATGGAGTGACGGGAAATCTGCTGAGCTGGCTGAAAGACTATTTGAGTGACCGTTCGGTCCAAGTTCGTGTCGATGGAGCGTTTTCCGATAAAATTGCCGCCACAAGTGGTGTCCCTCAGGGTTCGGTTCTTGGTCCAATTTTGTTCCTGGTATACATGAATGACCTGCCGAAACTTCTGCAGTGCAAAACCGTACTTTTTGCTGATGACATAAAAATCTGGTCTGAAATTCATGGAAAGGCTGATTGTGATGCGCTACAGCAAGATCTGCAAAGAAGCGCCGAATGGTCCATCCAAAACCGGCTGCCGCTGAATTTCCAGAAATGCAAACTCATAAATCTGGGGAAGAGCTACCACCGTTTTACGGCTGAAATTCTCCCTATTATCATGAACACATATCTCCGGCCGACAATGGAATGCGCGATCCACGCCTGGTCTCCATGGCTGCAAAAGGATACACAACTGCTAGAGCGTATCTACCACCGCGGGACCAAGCTGGTCATTGGCCTCTGAAACGTTCCCTACAGTGAAAGGCTACGTAAACTCGATTTGTTTGATTTAACTTATCGGCGTATACGAGGAGACCTCATCCTGATGTTCAAGATAATAAACACCCCTAATCACCCTTTAAAACATTTGTTCACAGTTAATTTGGCCCGACAGACCCGACGGAATCCATTGGCCGTTGACATTCCATGTTCCCGCATTAACTGTCGGCGCTACTTTTTTTCAGTCCGCGTATCCCTCACGTGGAACAAACTACCAACATCTGTTGTGGATTGTGGTAACCTCGAGACTTTCAAACATTCGCTTGACGAATACATAAGATCTCACCCAACTTCCCTCATCAACATTTGAGATGCAGATTACAAACAATAGAACATATGTCATATCATTCCGTTTATCTGTATACATACACACACACCAATATCCTTTGGTCATTGTAAAGCAAAATGCTTTTTAGACCAATATAACCTTGATTTACCTTGATTTACCTTGACTTACTAACTTGGAACTATTCATGAAAACTCGCATCTTGTGTTTTTTGCTCAAATCCACTATTCGTTCATACCGCTCACCCCTCCATATTTTTCACTCTGATGCAACGAAAAACTAATTTCTTCGTTACTAGCTCGAGCACTCTCCTCAGCGGGATCACGCAATCAAATATTTGTGGATTGGTTTAACTCTGACTGTCTTATATGCGTGAGTGACAGTCCCCATGTGCCATGAGTTTGTGGCTGTGAGCAGTTTGCCATAATTTGTCCATCGCCTGTTCCCCTTTCATTTATAATTTCTTTATTTCTTGTACTTTCTTGTAGTGTTAAAAGATGTGTCCCCGTAGGATCAGTTTAAGACAATAAGTTGCTTCCGTTTCTGACTATCTGCGGGTTTTCCTCACAGAAAAACAGAAAGGAAACTGAGATAAACGTAGTAGCTATTCCGTGGTCCTAACACAGTCAACCCCCTAGCCTGTGAATTTTTAGTAATCGAGAGTTTTGGCCGGTCTTATATCACATTTATATCACACTGAGTACCGTTAAAATCGAAATAAGATATCATCAGAGAAAACACTAGTGTCTTCTCCCCTTATTCGTTGAACAAATGTCAGTAAACCTTTATCTATGACGTTTCTTCAAGAAATACGGCACACTGAATAGAAGTACAAAAATTCACAGCCCACTCCATTTGATCCGTAGTGAGAACGAACCGACGGAGATTGATTTCCACTGTTGCCCTAGTGGCGAAGATGACTTCATCTATGGTCAGTGGTTCAAAAGAACGATTCACAGCTTTCATTTCACTCCCCTTCACTCAGTTTCTGAACACCCATCCGTTGGTAGGGACTGAATTGCTTTCTTAGAATTGGTCATGCTGAATAGTGCAGTGTTTGCTATTCACACACTCGTTTTTATACGGTACTTCAGTACTATTACAAATACTATATGGTAAGAACACATAAAAACACATAATGCAGTTAGGAAAACCACTATATTGAGAACAGTTGGCTTTGTTTCTCGCTCCCTCAACTCTCAAGTTGACCATCCACTTGTTCTCCGCTTCGCCGGATGGCTGATGACCCTTTGACTGCAAACATGAGGTCAGGAGATATCGTCAGTGATTCTTGCGGTCGCACTTTCAAATCCTGCTGAGAACGATGAAGTCAATGACTTCGTCAGACAACCTGACAAATCAATCGACACGTGGCAGATGGATTTTTACCAGTAATACATCAACGGGCTCGAAAAGGGTTGATGCCTAGGCCCTCGTCAACAAAAGAATGCAATGACCAGCCGGAGTTTTCCTCGTCAGCAGGAGGGCCATTTTTAGAGATTTGCATTTTTAGAAAATAGTTTGAGCCATAAAAGATAATCCCTGACGATATAAGTCTGTGTTACCAAGGCTTCCGTGCCTACAAAAATGCAGAACGA